CACTGCAACTTCCGCCTCCCAGGTTCAAGAGATTCTCCTGCCTCAGCTTCCCGAGTAGCTGGGATCATAGACATTCGCCACCACGCCTGGCTAATTTTTGCATTTTTAGTAGAGACGGGGTTTCACCATGTTGGCCAGGCTGGTCTTAAACTCCTGACCTCGCGATTCACCCGCCTCAGCCGCCCAAAGTGCTGGGATTACAGGCATGAGCCACCGTGCCCAGCCTGCAGTTTGAATTTTAATCTCAGTGTTGGGAAATCACTGGAAAGGTTTAAAGCACCAAGCTGTAGGATCTAATTCTCATTCGGGAAGGAGCCTCCTCTAGCAGCTGTTGGCCACCTCTGCTCCTGCCCCTCCGCCAGGTGGGAGGTGCCAGCCTCCTGTCATATACATACCTCCTCAGGTGCAGACACCCGGCAGGCAGCTTCCTCGGCCACTGCGTTGGAGTAGAGGAAGAGATCCTCGTAATCCACATTTGCGGGATCCTTCTGCAGGGCGGAAGGGACTGTGGCTCAGTACTAGGGAGGGCAAAGGTCCTGGACCGACCCTGGAAGGCAGGTCTCAGGGACCGTCCTCTGAATAGCAGTTTCTTAGTACCTAGGTCACATCCACTAAGTGTTATAAGAAAATATGCCCCAACCACAGCCATTTCTTAGGGGTTGGGACACACCCACTGAGCCTTCTAAAGAAAGGCGCCCTGCCCACAGCAGTTACTTGGGAACTGGGAGGCCACGCCAACTGAGCCTTCTAAGGAAAGATGCCCCACCCACAGCAGTTTCTTGGGAGCCAGGCCAGACCCACTGAGTCCTGTAAGGAAAGATGCCCTGCCCACAGCAGTTTCTTGGGAACTGGGAGGCCATGCCCACTGAGCCTTCTAAGGAAAGATGCCCCACCCACAGGAGTTTCTGGGGGCAGGCCACGCCCACTGAGCCTTCTAAGGAAAGATGCCCCACCCACAACAGTTTCTTGGGAGCTAGGCCAGACCCACTGAGCTTTCTAAGGAAAGATGCCCCACCCACAGCAGTTTCTTGGGAGCTAGGCCAGACCCACTGAACCTTCTAAGGAAAAATGCCCCGCCCTCAGCAGTTTATTGGGAGCCAGGCCACGCCCACTGAGCCTTCTAAGGAAAGTTTATTTGGAGCCAGGTCACACCCATTATGCCTTCTAAGGAAAGATGCAATTCCTTCATTTGAGCCAAGATTATACCTGGTACATAACCCTTGTGAAAAAAAAAAACAATCAGCCTGTTGACATGGGCCTGGAGGGTGGAGAGATGGGGAATCGGGGACCACAAGGGACATGGCCGTCAGGGGCAGAGGGACTAGGAGGGGTGGGGCTGGAGGGGCCAAGGACCATGAGAGTGACAGAATCAAGAGGACCTGATGGAGATGTGTGGAGCAAAGGGGTCCGGGGGGCTTGGCCCCAAGGAGATGGCTGTGAACCACATGTGTCCCCGCCCTCACCTGCCTGCAGGGCTGTGTCAGCAGCTCCCCGAGCGCCTCAATTGGCTTCTGCTGGTGGAAGGTGACCAGGGCGTCTAGCGAGGTGTGGGCCACCTTCTCCCCGGGGATCATGAAACTCCCATCATCCAAGAGCTTCACCATGAAATGGCAGCAGCTGCTTTGGCCTCTGTGGAGACACTGCGAGGGCTGGAACATCCCACTCCCCCTCATCCCTGCTCCAAGTCCCCAGCCCTTGGGCTGGCAGCGCCACTGCTACAGCCAGACTATGCCAGGTTCCTGTGCAGGCTTCTTCACTCATTAGCCATTCAACACCCAGCAAGTTACTAACCTCACTGTGCCTTAGTTTCCCCCATTTATAACATAGGGCTACAATGGCCGACCTCAGATCAAACATGTTACTACAGGCAAAAGCTTAATTCATTGCCTGGCTAGGGGTAAATAATCAATAGAAATGATAATGAAAGCTGGTCACAGTGGCTCATGCCTGTAATCCCAGCACTTTGGGAGGCTGAGGCTGGTGGATCACTTGAGGCCAGGAGTTCGAGACCAGCCTGGCCAACGTGGTGAAACCCCATCTCTGCTAAAAATACAAAAATTAGCCAGGCATAGTGGCAGGTGCCTGTAATCCCAGCTACTGGGGAGGCTGAGGCAGGAGAATCACTTGAATCTGGAAGGCGGAGGTTGCAGTGAGCCGAGATCATACCACTGCAGTCCAGCCTGGGTGACAGAATGAGATTCTGTCTCAAAAGAAAAAAAAAAAAAAAAGAAAGAAAGCTCCAGACTAAGGCTGTGTGCCTGGTACACAGCAAGTGCTCAAGAGATGCCCAGTTAACCAATAAATGTATATTAATGTCACTCTATGTCCTGACTGTATCTCGTTTAATCCTCACATGAATACGCTGAATTAAAATGTGACATTCCTTTACTGGAGGCACAGAGAGGTTGAGCAGCTTGTCTAAGGTCACATAGCATATAATGGCAGAGCTGAGCCTTGGAGAAGCTTTTCCCACTGTGGGTAACTGTAAAATTGAGCCACTGGGTTTTTATTCCTTTGGCCTGGAATCCTCTGGATTTGTCTGGCTTCCAGGTCTTAAGGAGCTGGGCTTCCCTGGGTTTCCCTAACACACAGTCTGGGAATCACTAATTAGATTGTGAGGGGTGGAGGGAGAGAAGCCGCCAGCCAATCTTAGGTCCCCAGCAGTCCTGGTTCTCAGACCCGCAGCCTCAGTTGCTGCCGTTCTCTGAGAAGCAGTAACCCCTTTCCCCCTCCAAGGAAGCCCCAGAGCCCACCTGCCCCTGCCCTAGCCCCTGGCCCAGGCCTTACTTGTAGGAGAGTGTGTAGCCCACGTGGCTGTGGCTGACCCTGATGAGAAAGGATCCTGGTGGCTGCGACTCCAGCAGGTTCTCAGCCTCCCTGGAAGGGCACACACAAAAGGAAATGACACAGTCAGACTCCTGGGGCTATGGGGCCATTCATGCAGAAGGCTGGTAGTTTTCATTTTTCTTTTTTTTTTTTTTGAGGCAGTCTCGCTCTGTCACCCAGGCTGGAGTGCAATGGTGTGATCTCGGCTCACTGCAGTGTCAACCTTCAGGTTCAGGCAGATTCTCCTGCCTCAGCCTCCCAAGCAGCTGGGATTACAGGCGCCCGCCACCATGCCCAGCTATTTTTTGTATTTTTAGTAGAGACGGGGTTTCATCATGTTGGCCAGGCTGGTCTCAAACGCCTGTCCTCAAGTGATCCACTGGCCTCAGCCTCCTAAAGTGCTGGGATTGCAGGTGTGAGCCACTGCGCCCCGCCTGTTTTATTTTATTTATTTTATTTTTGAGATGGAGTCTCACTCTGTCACGCAGGCTGGAGCGCAGTAGTGTGGTCTCAGCTCACTGCAACCTCCGCCTCTCAGGTTCAAGCAATTATCTGCCTCAGTTTCCCGAGTAGCTAGGATTACAGGTGCCCACCACCACACCCGGCTAATTTTGTATTTTTAGTAGAGACGGGGTTTCACTATGTTGACCAGGCTGGTCTCAAACTCCTGGCCTCAACTGATCCGCCCGCCTCGGCCTCCTAAAGTGCTGGGATTACAGCCGGCCTGTTTTCTAAATGAACAAATACCCCAAGCCCATCTTTTTTTTTTTTTTTTTCCCAGTTGTTGCAGACCCTGAGCTATTCACGGACTAGGGATGTTACCACAGAGGACCTAGAAGGCCTCTGATGACCTTGATCCCAGGCCAGACCTCCTCCCTTCTCCCACAGCACCTGCCTGCCTTCCCAATGACTGGAATCTCCCGATCAAGGCACCTTTGGGTAGATCAAGGTGTCACAGGTAGCAAAGAAGGACCTGTATACTCAGACGCATTCAAGTTCAAACCCCAGCTGTACTGTCCATCAGCTGCGTGACTTCAGGCAATTGTCTATCCCTTTCTGAGCTTCAGCTTCCTCAAGGGGAGAGTAAAACCCACTTCCAAGGCTGCTGTGAGAACAGAAAGAACTTGCAACGTCAGTGTGACAGCTGCTACCTGGTAGGTGCTCCCAAAACGTTTGCTATTATTATTACTATTATTCTCTCTTTTTTTTTTTTTTTTTTTTGAGATGGAGTTTTGCTCTTGTTGCCCAGGCTGGAATGCAATGGTGTGATCTCAGCTCACCGCAACATCCACCTCCCGGGTTCAAGTGATTCTCCTGCCTCAGGCTCCCAAGTACCTGGGATTACAGGTACGGGCAACCAGACTCAGCTAGTGTTTTGTATTTTTAGTGGAGACAGGGTTTCACCCTGTTGGCCAGGCTGGTCTTGAACTCCTGATCTCAGGTGATCTGCCCGCCTCGGCCTCCCACAGTGCTGGGATCACAGACATGAGCCGCCGCGCCCGGCCTGTTTTCTCTATTTTACCATTATTATCGGGAGTTCACAGAGAGGAAGGCAGCCTCCTGGCCATTTGTACCGATTTCCAAAACAGCACAAAAAAGGAACATATACTATTTCATGAATCATTTTTTGTTTGTTTTTGAGACAGGGTCTTGCTCTGTCACTCAGGCTGGAGTGCAGAGGTGCAATCACAGCTCACTGCAGCCTTGAATTCCTGGGCTCAAGAGATCCTCCCACCTCAGCCTCCTGAGTAGCTGGAACCACAGGCATGTGCCACATGTCCGGCTATTTTTTTAATTTTTTTTTTTTTTTTTGAGATGGCGTCTCGGCGGGTTGCCCAGGGTGGAGTGCAGTGGTGCGATCTCGGCTCACCACAACCTCTGCATCCCAGGTTCCAGCAATTCTCCTGCCTCAGCCACCTGAGTAGCTGGGATTACAGGTACACGCCACCATGCCTGGTTAATTTTTGTATTTTTAGTAGAGACAAGGTTTCACCATGTTGTCCAGGCTAGTCTCGAACTCCTGACCTCAGGTGATCTGCCCTCCTCAGCCTCCCAAAGTGCTGGGATTACAAGCGTGAGCTACTGCACCTGGCCTAAAATTTCTTTTAGAGATGGAGTCTCGCTATGCTGTCTAGACCAGCCTTGAACTCCTGGGATCAAGCAATCCTCCTGCCTCAGCATCCCAAGTAGCTGGGACTAAAGGTATTGCTATGGTGCCCAGCTGCTTCTTTTAACATAGCTACTAAAATTTATCTAAACTGCAATGTGCAGCTCATTTCTGTTGGATAGTGAGGCCCCAGAACTCAGAAGCCATGACCAACGCTACTTCCTCTCTGTGGCCTTCACAGAATTTTCTCAATTTCCTGCACACAGAGAGTGGCAATAAATGTTCTTTTCTCCATTCAGTTAGTGCTATGCCCACATCCTCAGAGCTCACACGGTCTGAGGTAGAAAGGACACACTGGGGCCAGGCACAGTGGCTCATGCCTATAATCCCAACACTTTGGGAGGCTGAGGCAGTCAGATCACTTGAGGCCAGGAGTTCGAGACCAGCCTGGCCAACATAGTGAAACCCCATCTCTACTAACAATGCAAATATTAACCAGGCGTGGTGGTGCATGTCTATAGTCCCAGGTGCTCTTGAGGCAGGAGGATTGCTTGAACCTGGGAGGCAGAGGTTGCAGTGAGCCGAGATCACACCGCTGCACTTCAGCCTGGGCAACAAGAGTAAAACTCTGTCTCAAAAAAAGAAAGGGCACCTTGGTTGTATCTTGATGGGTTGAGAGCAGCTGCTTGGGATACTGTGTTCAGAAAGATTCTGGCCAGGCACGGTGGCTCACGCCTGTAATCCCAGCACTTTGGGAGGCCGAGTCGGGTGGATCACTTGAGGCCAGGAGTTTGAGACCAGCCTGGTCAACATGGTGAAACCCTGTCTCCACTAAAAATACAAAAATTAGCCAAGTGTGGTGGCATGTGCCTGTACTCACAGCTACTTGGAAGTGAGGCAGAAGAATCACTTGAACTCGGGAGGCAGAGGTTGCAGTGAGCCAAGACTGCGCCACTGCACTGCAGCCTGGGCGACAGAGTGAGATGCTGTCTCAGAAAAAAAAAAAGAAGAAGAAAGATTCTGAGGCTGCATTCTGCCATCATTGATTGGTAATGCCTGGCCTGGGCAAGGTGTGGGGTGCTGCCAGGTCCCTGGCAGTGCTGGCCTTTTGGCCACTTATACAGAGGAAGCTGAGGCACAGAGAGGGCAAGGAACTTGCCCCAGGTCACACGGTGAGCCCACAGAGGTGGCAGGATGCAAGCCTGGGAGTCTGGAGCTCATTTTAGCCTCTTGCCACACTGAGCTGAGCCAAGCCCAGAACTGTGCTGTTAAAACCTGCCCAGAGCAGAAGCAGACAAGGAAAGAGGTGGGTGGGCCGGGGGAGGGCGTGGGTATGTCCTCACTCTCTTGAGATTGCACCATGGAACCACTCGGGGACCACGTCTTGGGCCAGCTGGCCCGACTGGGTGTGCACGAACCAGTCCAGCCGAGGGGGCAGTGGTGGGGGCAGCTTCCTGGCCTCTGTCATGGCTTCCTGGGGTGGGGCGAAGGTCACCTGGGTAGAGAAGGGAGGGAAGACAAGAATCAAGCTTGGTGTCCCTCTTATTTTTGCTCTATTCTTGCAGTTTGTGGCGCCTCTTCCTCTGAGAAGTCCTCCAGGCCGGACAGAGCAATGGGCTTAAAACTGGCTTGTGAGGGCCAGGTGCTGTGGCTCACGCCTATAATCTCAGCACTTTGGGAGGGCAAGGGGATGTGGACTGCCTGAGCCCAGGAGTTCCAGACCAGCCTGGGCAACATAGTGAGACCCCATGGCTACAAAAAAATTTAAAAATTTGGCCAGGCATGGTGCCTCATGCATATAATCCCAGCACTTTGGGAGGCTTAGGCAGGCAGATCACCTGAGGTCAAGAGTTTGAGACCAGCCTGGCCAACATGGTGAAACTCCATCCCTACTAAAAATACAAAAATTACCCGGACATTGCAGTAGATGCCTGTAATGCCAGCTACTTGGGAGGCTGAGGCAGGAGAATCACTTGAACCCGGGGGATGGAGGTTGCAGTGAATCGAGATCACACCACAGAGTGAGACTCATTCTCAAAAAAAAAAAAATTAAAAAATTAGCTGGGTGTGGTAGTGCATGCCTGTAGTCCCAGCTACTCAGGAGGCTGAGGTGGGAGGATCCCTTGAGCTCGGGAGGCTGTGGCTGCAGTGAGCCGTGGTTGTGCCACTGTACTCCAGTCTGGGGAACAGAGCAAGGCTTTTTGTTTGTTCAAAAACAAACAAGCAAAAACACCGGCTTGTGTAGCTGGGCATGGTGGCTCAGGCCTATAATCCCAGCCCTTTGGGAGGTCAAGGCAGGTGAATCACCTGAGGTCAGTAGTTCAAGAGCAGCCTGGGCAACATGGTGAAACCCTGTCTCGATTCAAAATACAAAAATGAGCCAGGAATGGCTGCACATGCTTGTAATCCCAGCTACTTGGGAGGCCGAGGAACGAGAATCCCTTCAACCTGAGAGGTGGAGGTTGCAGTGAGCCGAGATTGCGCCACTGTACTCCAGCCTGGGCAACAGAGTGGGACTCCATCTCAAAAATCCAAAAACCAAAGCAAAACAACAACAACAACAAACACACAAAAACAAACAAACAAAAATCTGGCTTGTATTTCTTGAGCACTTACTATGTGCCTGGTACTTTTTACACATTCATTCATCGGCTCCTCCCCAATGTCCTTCAAGGATTTTTCCTTTTATTCTTCTTGTGCCATTGTGTTCCATTCCTTTCCTCTCCTCTCCTTTTTCCTTTCCTTTCCCCTTTTTCTTTTTTGAGACAGGATCTCACTCTGTCGCCCAGGCTGGACATCTTGGCTCACTACAGCCTCGATCTTCCTGGCTCAAGTGATTCTCCCACCTCAGTCCCCCAAGTAGCTGGGACCACAGGCATGTGCCACCATGCCTGGATAATTTTTGTATTTTTTGTGGAGATAAGTTTTGCCTTCTTGCCCACATTGGTCTCGAACTCCTGGACTCAAGCCATCCACCTGTGTCAGCCTCCCGAAGTACTTGGATTACAGGCGTGAGCCACTGTGGCCTGCCTGTTATGCCTTTATTGCAAGGACTAGAAAGTTCCTTTTATAAATAAATCTTTTGAAATTTAAGAATAGAGCAAGGCCGGGCGCGGTGGCTCAAGCCTGTAATCCTAGCACGTTGGGAGGCCGAGGCGGGTGGATCACGAGGTCAAGAGATTGAGACCATCCTGGTCAACATGGTGAAACCCCGTCTCTACTAAAAATACAAAACATTAGCTGGGCATGGTGGCGCGTGCCTGTAATCCCAGCTACTCGGGAGGCTGAGGCAGGAGAATTGCCTGAACCCAGGAGGGGGAGGTTGCGGTGAGCCGAGATCGCGCCATTGCACTCCAGCCTGGGCAACATGAGTGAAACTCCGTCTCAAAAAAAAAAAAAAAAAAAAAGAATAGCGCATTTAAATATTAAGTGAATATCAATGCCCCCAGAGGAATAAGGAAATGGCAAAGTGGCAAGTGAACAAACAAAAGAGCTGACCCAATAGTAGTGGGTGTCAAAAAGGGTTGCCCTGGTCTCTTTTTTCTTTTTGAGACAGAGTTTCACTCTTGTTGCCCAGGCTGGAATACAGTGGCGCGATCTCGGCTCACTGCAACCTCCACCTCTCAGGTTCAAGGGATTCTCCTGCCTCAGCCTCCAGAGTAGCTGGGACTACAGGCGCGCGTCACCAAGCCCAGCTAATTTTTGTATTTTTTTTTAGTACAGACAGGGTTTCACCATGTCAGCCAGGATGGTCTCGATCTCATGACCTTGTGATCCACCCGGCCTCCCAAAATGTTGGGATTACAGGCGTGAGCCCCTGCGCCTGGCCCTTTCTTTTTTTTGAGACAGGATTTCCCTCTGTTGCCCAGGCTGGAGTGTGCAGTGCTGCAATCCCAGCTCACGCTCACTGTGGCTGCAACCTCCCAGGCTCAAGCAATCCTCCCACCCCAACCTCCCAAGTAGTTGGGACTACAGGCCTGCCTAATTTTTAAAAAATTTTTGTAGAGACGGGGTCTTGCTATGCTGTCCAGGCTGGCCTCGAACTCCTGGGCTCAAGCGATGCCTACATCTCAGCCTTCTAATGTACTGGGATTACAGGCATGAGCTACCGTGCCTGGCTGCCTTGGTTTCATTAAACACCAGAAAAATGTGGCTCCAGACAGTTGCTTCCGCCACCAACATCACCACACATAGTAGCCACTGATGGCACAACTATGACGTGTCAGGTGCATCATTAATTCACACACTTTCTTGATAATCTTAAGCAAGAGGTACCACGGGACTTTGAGCGTCAGTGACAAAGCTGGAGAAAGACAGAAGGCAGCACTGTTTTGCAGAACAGAATTAAGTGAATGTAAAATGAGCCAAAGGATTGTATCTTGCTAGATAGTTCCTTCAAGATCCCCCTTGCTCACCCTTTTTCTTTCTTTCTTTTTCCTTTTTTTTAGAGATAGGGTTTGTCCATGTTGGCCAGGCTGGTCTCAAACTCCTGACCTCAGGTGATCCGCCCACCTCGGCCTCGCCAAGTGGTGGGATTACAGGGGTGAGCTTGAGCCGCTGCGCCCAGCCTGCTCACCCTATTTTTTTTTTGAGATGGAGTCTCGCTTTGTCGCCGAGACTAGAGTGCAGTGGTGCGATCTCAGCTCACTGCAACTTCTGCCTCTTAGGTTCAAGCGATTACCTGCCTTAGCCTCTTGAATAGCTGAAATTACAGGCACGCGGCACCCAACCTGGCTCATTTTTGTGTTTTTAGTAAAGATGGAGTTTCACCATATTGGCTAGGCTGGTCTTGAACTCTTGACTTCAAGTGATCCGCCTGCCTTGGCCTCCCAAAGTGCTGGGATGACAGGTGTAAGCCACTGCACCTGGCCACTCACCCTAAATTCTGTTCTCAAACTGGAGCTCACTCCCCCTACCCACAGGCCCCATCTAACTTTTCACTATCTTAAAAGGTCTTTTTGCTGGGTTGTTTCTAAGAGGAGGTGGGGCCTGTTGACCAATGGTAGTCAATATTGACTTTCTTTTTTTTTTGAGACAGAGTCTTGCTCTGTCACCAGGCTGGAGTGCAGTGGCACAATCTCAGCTCACTGCAACCTTCACCTCCCGAGTTTAAGCAATTCTCCTGCCTCAGCCTCCCAAGTAGCTGGGAATTACAGGCATCCACCACCATGCCCAGCTAATTTTTTAGTAGAGACAGGATTTCACTTTGTTGGCCAGGATGGTCTTGCTCTCTTGACCTTGTGATCCATCCACCTCGGCCTCCCAAAGTGCTGGGATTACAGGCCTGAGCCACCACACCCTGCATCAATATTGACTTTCTCCAGCCAGATGTCAAGCATACCCTCTAGGGTGCAGCCTGAAGGAATTCTGAGGTTTATTAAGAAATGTTTGCCGGGCGCGGTGGCTCACGCCTGTAATCCCAGCACTTTGGGAGGCCGAGGCGGGTAGATCACGAGGCCAAGAGATCGAGACCATCCTGGTCAACATGGTGAAACCCCGTCTCTACTAAAAATACAAAAAATCAGCTGGGCATGGTGGCACATGCCTGTAATCCCAGCTACTCAGGAGGCTGAGGCAGGAGAATTGCCTGAACCCAGGAGGTGGAGGTTGCGGTGAGCCAAGATCGCGCCATTGCACTCCAGCCTGGGCAACAAGAGCGAAACTCCGTCGCAAAAAAAAAAAGAAATGTTTAATAAAGCAAGGTGACAAAGCAATTAAGAGCCTGGAATTGGAGGCTGGGCACAGTGGCTCACGCCTGTAATCTCAGCATTTTGGGAGGCTAAGACAGGTAGATTGCCTGAGGCCAGAGGTTCAAGACCAGCCTGGCCACCATGGTGAAATCCCATCTCTACTAAAAATACAAAAATTATCTGGATGAGGAGGTGCATGCCTGTAATCCCAGCTACTCAAGAGGCTGAGGCAGGAGAATTGCATGAACCCACAAGGAGGAAGTTGTAGTGAGCTGAGATCGAGCCATAGCACTCCAGCCTGGGCAACAGAGTGAGACTCCGTCTCTAAATAAATAAATAAGATAAAGTAAAATAAAAATACAAAAATTACAGTGGTTTGTGCCTGTAGTCTCAGCTACTTAGGAGGCTGAGGCGGGAGAATCACCTGAACCCAGGAGGCAGAGGTTGCAGTGGGCTCAGATTGCCCCACTGCCCTCCAGCCTGAGTGACAGAGTGAGACTCTGTCTCACAAAAACCCCCCAAAAAACCCCACCACCACCACCAACAAAAAAGCCCAGAATTGGAGCCAGATGGCCTGGGTTCAAACCCCAGCTCCCCACTTAGCCACTGAGTGACCTCACATAAGTCACATAGCCTCTTTCTGTGCCTGTCTTTCTGTCTTTAATCTGGGGATAATGATATTTACCTAGGAATGTTTAGTTAGTGTGTATATATAGAAAGAGACATATACAATATTCACGAATCCAGTTGTGACCTAGCATGGGATAATGTTGACAGGCTTGTTCTTTGTTTTCTACTTGGAAGAACTCCTATTTATCCTTCAAAACCCAGTGAAAATGTCCTCTCCTCCAGGCAGCTTTCCTGCCTCTCCCCCCAGACAAAGCCCTGCACCCCCCTCTGTCCCCAGTGTTCCCCTTTGTTCCTCCCTCTGGTCCAGCCATGACCCCATGGAGGTAGAGTATATCTGGCTGTCTCCACTAGCCTGAGGGCCTCCTAAGGATCAGGGCCTAAGGATCTGAGTTGTCATCGTTTTCTGGGTCCTGGTGCTGGCCTGGCAGAGTGGAGGGTGCAAGGGTCTTTGCTGATGAACAGCTATCTAGTGATGAAAGAACTCATACTGAAATTCAAACTCCTGACCCTGGCCGGGGGCCTCCTCTACTTCCTGGCTACCCACATTCCAGACCTAAAGACCTCCCTGCTCTCTCTCCCGCCTCTCCACACCTTTGCTCATGCCGTTTTCCTGCCAGGACTGCCTTTCCCCAACTCCGGCTCCATTTTCCAGTGGTGACCACAAATGCCCCCTCTTCCACGAAGCCCTCCCCCATGCTACCAGAAAATCCCTCCCGCCACCCCAGGACCCACCAGCCCTGTCCCTCCTTCTGGCCTAGCCCGGCTCCCACGCTCTGTCTCCTCGGGGGCTGAGAGGGGGGCTGAGGCTCTTGGGGCACATACCTGGGAGACCCTTGGATGGCCGAGGCCCTCACGGTGGCTGTGGCAGCGCCGGCAGGAGGCTGGGTTTCGATTCAGGGTCCCCACGTCAATGGGGCGGGGCTGGCTGCCCCAGGCGGTTTCTGTTTCCTTAAGCAGGTGAGCCCTGGGGCGGGACAAGGACAGGCCCAGTCACCCTGTCTGCAGTCCAGCAAAGCAGCTGCTGCCACAGGTGCAGGGACAGCTTGCTCCTGCCTTGCCCCCAGCAAGCCGTTATTGAGCGCCTACTGTGTGCCTATTCTTTGGAGGACACAGGGGTGACACCGAGACAGATGCAGGGCCCTGCCAACTCCTGGCATCTATAAAATATCAAGCCATGAAGAGGAGGAACACACCATTCCAAAGGGGGAACAGGCGACAGGAGCAGTGGCTCATGCCTGTAATCCCAGCACTTTGGGAGGCTGAGGCGGGTGGATCATTTGAAGTCAGGAGTTTGAGACCAGCCCGGCCCACGTGGCAAAACCCCATCTCTATTAAAATATAAAAATTAGGCCGGGCGCGATGGCACATGCCTGTAATTCCAGCACTTTGGGAGGCTGAGGACGGCAGATCACCTGATGTCAGGAGTTCAAGATCAGCCCAGCCAACATGGTAAAATCTGACCACTACTAAAAACACAAAAAATTAGCTGGGCATGGTGGCAGGTGCCTGTAATCCCAGCTACTTGGGAGGCTGAGGCAGGAGAATTGCTTGAACCGGGGAGGCGGAGGTTGCAGTGAGCTGAGATCGTGCCACTGCACTCCAGCCTGGGCAACAAGAGTGAAATTCCATCTCCAGAAAACAAATAAAACACAACAAAACAAAAATTAGCCGAGGGTGGTGGTATGCACCTGTAATCCCAGCTACTCGGGAGGCTGAGGCACAAGAATCAGTTGAACCCAGGAGCCGGAGGTTGCAGTGAGCTGAAATCACACCACTGCACTCCAGCCTGGGCGACAGAGCGAGACTCCTTCTCAAAACGAAAACAAAAACAACAAAGAGGAAACAGAGGCCAGGAGCAGTGGCTCATGCCTGTAATCCCAGCACTTTGGGAGGCTGAGGCAGGTGGATCGCTTGAGGCCAGGAGTTCGAGACCAGCCTGGCTAACATGGTGAAACCCTGTTTCTGCTAAAAATACAAATATCAGCCAGGCGTGGTGACGGGCGCCTGTAGTCCCAGCTACTCAGGAGGCTGAGGCAGAAGAATCGCTTGAACTAGGGAGGCAGAGGTTGCAGTGAGCTGAGATCACGCCACTGCACTCCAGCCTGGGCAGCACAGGGAAACTCTGTCTTAAAAACAAAACAAAACAAAACAAAACAACCCAAACAAACAAAAAAACCCAAAGAGGGAATAAGAAGGGGGAGCAGCAATTGCACAATCCCCCCGAGGTGGCCTCACTGACCTGGAGGAAGGGGCATTTGCGGGTGAGGAGACATCTGGATTTGGGGAGTGTGTGCTGCCGAAAGAGTGTATTTTTTGTAGAGATGGGGTCTTGCTATGTTGCCCAGGCTGCTGAGGGGAAGAGCAGGCACAAAGGCCTTGAAACTGAATGCAGCCTGGACAAGCTGTGATCTCATGGCCCGCAGAGATCCACACCAGGACTTCCTCAATCACAAAATGTTCAAAAATATTTTTATTGATTGATTAACTTATTTTAGAGACAGGGTTTCAGTCTGTCACCCAGACTGGAGTGCCGTGGTAGTCATAGCTCACTGTAGCCTTGAACTCCTGGACCCAAGGGATCCTCCTGCCTCAGCCTTTCAAGGAGCTGGGACTACAGGCATGCACCACCACGCCTGGCTAATTAAAACAATATTTTTGCTGGGTGCGGTTGTGCTAGCCTAGAGCCAGAACCTGAGCAATGCCATTTTATAAAATGCAAAACTGTTTTTAAAATAAGTTGCAACGGCTGCCCCATTCTCACAATAACTCCCAACACTTTGGGAGGCCGAGGCAGATGGATCACCTGACATCAGGAGTTCAAGAGCAGTCTGGCCAATATGGTGAAACCCCGTCTTTACTAAAAATATGAAAAATTAGCCCAGGGTGGTGCTGGGCACCTGTCATCGCAGCTACCCAGGAGGCTGAGGCAGGAGAATCGTTTGAACCTGGGAGGTGGAGGTTGCAGTGAACTGAGATCGTGCCACTGCACTCCAGCCTGGCGACAGAGCAAGACTCTGTTTCAAAAAAAAAAAAAAAAGAAAAGAAGAGGAGGAAGAAGGAGGAAGGAGGAGGAGGAGGAGAAAAGAAAAACTCAGGGCAAGTGGCCCCACTCACTGTAAAGAGGTTCCAAGCTGGGGAACCAGGGCTGCCAGTGCAAACGTCTTCATTCTTTTGTAGGCCTCCCTCTCGGGACCACCGATGCGGTCCAGGCTGGATTCCTCCTTGTGTATTTGTTCTTAGGAGGTTCAGTGTTTTTCTTCTGATTTTAAATAAGCCGAAGCCCTCTGGGAAGGCCTTCACAGCACCGGGTCCTGGGTACAGGCCTGGCGTGCCTAGCAGACTGGCCAGCCCTGGCATTGTGCTTGTACTCAGGCAGACAGGCAAAACGACTTCCTCCTCTGCTGCCAGGCAGAAAGGGCTCAGGTCCTGCTGGGGGCCTCCCCACGGGCCTATCACACTGGCCCAGCTGGGCTACATAAGCTCACCTACCGTAAGCCCACCTGGGTGCTCTGTCACGCCCCTGTTCCCCCTCAAGGAAGTAGAGGTGCATTGTCTGCCCTCTGAGGTCAACAAGGGTTAAAGCAGGAGACACATAGCACCTGGCTTCTCATTCACCTGTTGTGTGTCCTCGGGTGAATTGCTCAGCCTCTCTGAGCCTCAGTTCTGCATCTGTGAAATGGGTATAATAGCCCTCCTTAGTCACGTGAAGATGATAGGCAACCCTCCAGCCCGGCGCATAGAGGTCAGTTGGGAGTGAGAGAATCAGCACTCTCTGTTGTGACTTCATTCAAACAAGGCCTTTGTGTCTGGCTCAGGGAGACACTGGCTTGTGATTCAGACCTCATAGGCTGAGCTGCCTTGGACAACTTGATTCACCTCTCTGTGCCCAATCTCTTTTTCTTCTCTCTCGCTCTCTTTTTTATTTGAGACAGAGTTTCACTCTTGTTGCCCAGACTGGAGTGCAGTGGTGTGATCTCAGATCACTGCAACCTCTGCCTCCTGAGTTCAAGCAATTCTCCTGCCTCAGCCTCCTAAGTAGTTGGGATTACAGGTGCCTGCCACTGCGCCTGCCTAATTTTTGATATTTTCAGAAGAGACGGGGGTTCACCATATTGGTCAGGCTGGTCTTGAACTCCTGACCTCAGGTGATCCGCCCGCCTCAGCCTCTCAAAGTGCTGGGATTACAGTGTGAGCCACCGCGCCCGGCCTTTTATTCTCTCTCTCTCTCATTTTTTTTTTTTTTTTTTTTTTGAGACAGGGTCTTTTTGCTCTGTTGCCCAGGCTGGAGTACAGTGGTATAATCTCAGCTGACCACAGCCTCTACTTCCTGGGCTCAAGTGATCCTCCCATCTCAGCCTCCTGAGTAGCTGGAACTATGGCACACCACCACCACGCCTGGCTAATTTTTGGATTTTTTGTAGAGATGGGGTTTTGTCATGTTGCCAGGTTGGTCTTGTTCAAGCGATCCTCCTGCCTTGGCTTCCCTAAGTGTTGGGATTACGGGCGTCAGCCACTGCCTCCGCCCTTTTTGTTTTGAGATGATGTCTCGCTCTATCGCCCTGGCCAGAGTGCAGTGGTAGGTTCTCAGCTCACTGCAACCTCCACCTCCCGGGTTCAAGCGATTCTCCTACCTCAGTCTCCAGAGTAGCTGGGATTATAGGCATGTACCACCACTCCCAGCTAATTTTTGTATTTTTAGTAGAGATGGGTTTTCGCCATGTTGGCTAAGTTGGTGTTGAACTCCTGACCTCAAATGATCTGCCCATCTTGGCCTCCTAAAGTGCTGGGATTATAGGCCTGAAGTATTCTTTTTTTTTTTTTTTTTTCGAGACAAGGTTTTGCTCTTGTTGCCCAGACTGGAGTGCAATGGCGCAATCTTGGCCCACCACAACCCCTGCCTCCCCGGTTCAAGTGATTCTCCTGCCTCACTCAGGCTCCTGAGTAGCTGGGACTGCAGGCCCTTGCCACCACGCCCAGCTGATTTTGTATTTTTAGTAGAGATGTGGTTTCTCCATGTTGGCCAGGCTGGTCTCGAACTCCTGACCTCAGGTGATCCGCCCACCTCGGCCTCCCAAAGTGCTAGGATTATAGGTGTGAGCCGCTGCGCCCAACCCCTGCTTTTTTTTTTTTTTTTTTTTTTTTTTTTGGAAACGTGGCCTAGTTCTGTTGCCCTGGCTGGAGTGCAGTGGTGCGACTATAGCTCACTGCAGCCTCAAACTCCTGGCCTCAAGCGATCCTACTGCCTGGGCTTCCCAGAGTGCTGGCATTACAGGTGTGAACCTGGCCTTCACTTCTCTGATCCTCTTTGGAAAGTCTGATCATCGAGGGTCTTATTTGCATGGGATTTAGAGTCTCCAGGAACATTTGGGTACGTCAGCCTAGCTCCGGCCCAGCCCCCTGAGACCCTGCCAGAAAGGGCCCAACCTCCCTTCCCCTGATCTGCTTGGCTGATGTGGTCTCCCACAAACTAACGTTTTCCGTTCAGATATCACAACGGAATCACCCCACACCCCTCAGTGTCCACAAGCCTCAGCCCAGCAAACGGGTACGTGGCCCCAGGAGGAAGGAAGGGTGTGGTGGGAAAATATCTGCCTGGAGGGGAGATAAGTGGACTAGAATGCCAAGGACCCCCCTCTCTGATGTCAGCTTCTCCAGGGAGACAGATCTGGGCTTCTGCTTCTCAGCAGAGGCCGCAGCTGGTAAGTGGGCTATTCACAGCCTCACGTGGGGTGGCTCTTGGGGGAGGTGGCCATGATGCCATCTCAGTGCTGGGAAAATGATGGGACCCTACATGCCAAGGAATGGGGAAGTCCTTAGGCTCTCCCAACACTGGGCTTGATGCAATTCTTATACTTTTTTTTTTTTTTTGAGAGAGTCTCGCTCTGTTGCCAGGCTGGAGTGTAGTGGCAAGATCTGGGCTCACTA